ATGGTGAATAATCTCACCCAGCCAATCAATGCATAGGTCCCACTTAACGGATACATGTTGATTCTATTACCAGCAGTTTACAGGTCTGAGTAGCTCAGCTGTTTTAAGCAAAAGAAAAAATCCTGTTGTTGTTAAACACAGATAATTTATACTTGACTTACAGTCGGTCGCATCAACCACCTTTTCTTGCTTAGCAAGTCTCCCTCTAGGTATCTGGGATTTGGCTAGATCATATATGGCAATAAGGTTGACTGAATCGCGAGTTAGGATCAGGCGTCACTATCAATACATAGGCTGGGACGGGAACCTACCAGCGTAATAGGACGCGTACAAGACAGCAGAGGCATGGCCTGAAAGGCGCACTACTGGGGCGAGGCGAGTAGAATAATCAACCCCCTATGCTATTAGTACGTGCCTCAGACGTCCAGACTGCCGAGAGGGCGGTGTGTGATGTCGGTACGATGCGTGTCCACCGAAGGCACAATTGGGTAAAGGGTCAGCATGAGATTTAGGGGGGCTATACATATCGTTGCGGCAGGTCTGCACCAGAGCGATGGACAAATGAGGATTCTCGGTCAACGGAATCTCGGCCGTAACCGTCTGCCGTGGCCTGCCGCACCATCAATCTCGCACCATCTTTTGCGACCGTCTGCTCGACTCTCGAAGCTGCCGTCTTGGGACCAGAAACGCGCTTTCTCTGCATCTGTTTCCTCGTCCGCTCCAACTTCACATCGGTTACCGTCCTCGGCTAACTCAACCGCCGTGTCCTCTGCGTCAGTTTTTTCGTCCGTTTCCCCTACAATGACTCGGGTACTACCCGCAGTACACGTGGACTCCGAGCATAGTTCAGAGTCTGAGTCATCCGGGATTGTTGTTCCAACTTCCCACCTCCAAACTGGAAGAAACCCTTGGCCACCTTCATGCATGCAGCCGTACATCCACTCCGGCCTGGTCCATGGTTTGATTTCGACGAGTCAAGTTTGCCAGATTGACGCACGCTGTCAGGTGATTAGTTGCAGTGGCGGCTCGCCCCAGTGTTCAAACCCGTCCAACGCAAATCACACTGGATGGTGACCAGGGGGACACAGAAATATTTCCAGCCGGCGAGAAGGCAGTAAAATAGCACAAGGGCCTTTGGTGCCTTCTCTTCCGAGGCTGTAGCAGGGGTACAGTTGCAGTCCTTGCAGCGTGAAAAAGGTGTGGTATCAAGAACTGAAAGTAGTTGGAGGCTGAACGATGCCATTTGCCTGACTCACGCAGCTAAACCGAGGACTCTGCAAACGATATAATAATAGCTAATAACTTTTTGTAGTAATAGTCGTTTTAATGCTAGTTATAATTTGCTCAAATAATATAATATTAGAATAACAGCACCAGCTGGTTATACGGCACGCACAACTCAGGGACACACACCATAGCAGAGGGCACAGACTAGATATTCGGCCCTTGGTCATTCATTGAGAGCATCAAAGTATATTTATGCCGAACTGACTTAGGGACGTATAAGATCACATATCTTATGTACGAAAGCTAAGTCTTGTAGTTAGGAAGATAATCATAGAAATACATCTTAAGTTCACCTTTACATTTAACCCAAGTATAATCGTACTCACAGGTTCTCTCAGGAAGAGAGAATCCATTCAAAAAATTGGTATATCGTGTAATAAGTTACTTTAGACTTTATTATAATATCCTACTATAATGCTGTAAGTATAATAGACACTAGTTATGCTAGAAGCTGTTCAATTTAATGTTTAGTGTAAGATATTGTTCTAGCTCCTTATAAGCGGTCTAGTATAGTTTACTCTGTACAGAAGATTATCACAGTATATATAAATTAATATAGTAGTACCTCTGGCCTATGTTAGATCTTGATATATTAATACGGTACAAATTACCCTATAGCGTGGGACGACTGCTGGTCCATATTGTCAGGCGCCCAGAGGGGGGGGGGGGCACCGGCGCGGCACTAGTGGGGCCGTCGGCGGGGTAGCTGGGGGCCGCACCGGCACATAGTCAAGGGATTATAAAGGGATTCTAGCTACGCGGCCAACACCGACTCCGACAACAAAGGTTAGCCACTGAGACCAACGTTAGAGAAAGGCGATAGCACAACGCCGCTGAATTAGTGTTATAGCCAGGGGAACTGGGCTTGGTTAAGGGGGGGGGCCTGGGGGGCATATAAGGAGCAGCTGCGGCGGACCTAGGGGAAAAGGCAGATTGGAATAACAGTCAACACCCACCCCTACCTGTGCCCATCGCCGACCTCATTATTCTGTACGACTCCAGTCTCTGACACATATCTTACTTCAACCGTGGTCTAAAACAGAAGCATTAGTTATAACCTTGACAGTAATAGCTTATTTGAACTAACACTAAAGTTATAAAAACCTTCCCGTTTAAGTTACGCTAGACTAGACGGCGATGGTTTTAAATTAACGAGCCTCTTGAACAAGGTCGTGAACACCTTGTAACTAGCTTAGGCTACGCTAGAAGCGTAACCCAACGTACCAGCAATGGCTTTATTTCATGGAACCTAATACTAAGGTTCTAAAACCTTGTAGCGTAAGTTACCCTAATCGTTAATAGCTTTAGTCCATGACTTTCAGAAACCTTACGCAAAAGCTTGATGCAACTAGTCTTTCTCCGGCAAAGTAACTACCGACAGAAGCTTGTCCCATTCATTACGTGAATTGGAATTCTTCTTAAGAGGTTTGTTAGTACGCGTTGCCCGGCTAAATGTCTGTTGTTCGATAAATGATCTTTGTTGTTATCCGGAACTCTCTCTTTGTCTTTTTTGTTCCACATCGTCCAGCATGGAAAGGTCCACAAATTTGTTTCAGAAACCTCCGCCCTATGTATTGGCCAGTTATGGATGCTCGCTTGGCGGCTTCCTGCTTGGATCGACACGGGCATCATCAGACCAGCCACTGTCATGGAGTCCTTCAACGAGCCTTTTGGCCATCCGAGCCCAACAGTTCACGGCGTAGTCGTATCATCCATCCTTGCATCGGCCGCCGTCGCTTCATTTTTAGCTGGCCACTTGGCCGGCCGGCTGGGATTGCCATCGGTTCTATGTTATTCGGGATCGGCTGCGCCATAGAGGCGGGTACTGTTCACCTGGGAATGTTTATGGCTGGCCGAGTGGTGGCGGGCATAGGCGAGGGCTTCACGAGCGGAATAATGAATGTGTAAGTGTACTGCTCCCAACGTGGTGTAGGTGCCCGCAATAAGCCTAACTACCACGACTAGATATATTTGCGAAATCTCACCCGCCAAACACCGTGGAGCCCTCACAACGGGTCCTCAACCCCTGATATGTGTTAGGCTCTTGGTAGGCTTTTTCACTTGCTACGGAACTAAGCGCATTGAGTCAGACCTCTCTTGGCAGCTTCTCTTCATCCTTCTCGCCTCTTATTCCGTCACTTTTTCCACAGCTGCCTACTTGCTGTTACCAGCGTCGCTGAGGTGGCTGGCCCATCATGAAAAGCCTACGCATGAAGTGTTAGCAGCTTGGAAGACTCTTGGTATCTATGGCGAGGACCACGAGGATATGGCGGAGCCGTTTGAGAACGCCGAGGCTAAGGCATCATCATCAAATGTTCGTAACTTGACCTTGCTTGGAACATATTTTCTTACTGAGATGTTCTAGCTTCATTCTGCCTAACAATCTCTCATAGTATGCTCCATTGCTCTTTCGTCAGGCCGGTATTGGTTTGAACAGGGACACTTTCCTCGTCTCGGGTATTCTGTCGATTGTCATCTGTGCCGTCAGCATTCCGGGCACCCTCTGGGCTGATAGTTGGGGCCGACGCGCCAACACTATCTTTGGTGGCTTGGGCATGGCCTGGGCCATGTTCATCATCGGTTCACTGTACGCCGCAGATGTCGTGCATGCCACGGGTCCGGCCAGATGGATCGTCATCGTGGTTATCTACATCTTTACCGTCATATACTGCGTCTCGTGGGGTATCGTCTTGAAGATCTACGCGGCCGAGATTCAACCTCAACAAACCCGGGCCAGCACCACGAGCATTGCCCACGGTCCTAACTGGCTGACCAGCTTCACCGTTGCCCTCATCACCCCGATCCTGCTAGCAAGCTCTCGATACGGCGCTTATTTGCTCTTCGGTGGATGTACGCTCCTTACAACGGCTATCTGCTGGTTCTGGATACCCGAGACTAGAGGACGAAAACTGTCGGAGATACAGCGTGAATTCCACGCGAACACATCAAGTGACCTGGAGAGCTCAGGCAAATCCATCAAAAAGACACAACAAACAGCATCTGGAGTTTTTGTACAGGAGGAGACCAAGCAAGAGAAGAACTAGACATAGATGTCATAGACTATTTATATCTCAGGTTAGTATAGATAGTAGCACGTGAGCAATAAATACCTAAACGCCTGTCTTTTCGGACTATGTCCTTCTACATTTGAGATTGTAACGGAAATAATGCTTAGCGGGCAGGGAAGTTGGCCAAGCCCACAAAACCCAGATCAGCTCCAAACGGAAAGGGCAAGGATCAGGATAGATGGTATAAACATTGCAATTTATGTTGCCCTCAGTAACTCTCGGATGCCCTGTCTTCTTGTACGGAAAGGGAAGTAGAGACAGTCAGCCGCCATAAATACTCTCACCCTTTGGCCAAATGATCTGGGAATAACCGCCTCAGGCACTCATTATTCAGTGCTGCTCTGCCACATAGTTCAGCCCAACAAAAAAAATAACCACCTCAGGCACTTATTCAACACACATGTGACATAAAAAGTCGCCCAGTTTCAACCTGTCAATTTTACCATTCTGATTTCAAATCAGTGAGGTCACTTGCCAGCGTGGTGTTGATTAGGGTTCACAACATTCCAACCTGTTTCCTGAGCCCATACCTCGACCCATCCGCCCATCATGCGGACCCTCAGGCTCGTATCCCCCCTCAATCAGCATCCTACAGCATTTATTCCCCGTCTTTTTCCAGTCACGCGACGCGCGTTTCACAACACCATGACTGTTACTGCTCCACAGACCTGCAGGGCTCTCGTCATCAGAGCAAAGGAGGATAAGGAGGCCTTCACTTTGGTCCAAGAGCAGATCCCCGTCCCCAAGCCTCTTCCCCATCAGGCCCTCGTAAAGGTTGCCGTCGCAGCTCAGAACCCCACAGATGTCCTATGCTACGATGGCGGCGTTTTTGGAGATGGGTCTGTGCTGGGGTGCGACTTTGTCGGCACCGTCGTTGCTGTTGGAGCTGAGGTGACCCTGATTCAGGTAGGCGACAAGATCGCCGGGCTGATCTGGGGAGGTGAGATCAAGGGTCAGGGAGCTTACAGCCAGTACACCATCGCCGACGAGAAAATATGCTACAAGATTCCCGACGGACTATCACTTGAGGAGGCTGCCACAGTGCCCTTGACAGCTACAACCGCGTGGCTAGCTCTCTTCAGGTCTGCCAGCCTGGCCATTGATCGAAACAAGGGCTCTGCGATTAACCTACTTGTCTGGGCTGGAAGCAGTAAGTACAACTGCAATGCACATCATCTATGCGAGAAACTAGCTTACATGACCTACAGCCAGTTGCGGCTTGTATGCAATCCAGATTGCAGCCCTCTTTGGCTTCAATGTTGGGACCGTGTGTAGTCCGTCACAGGCGTCACGCCTCCACTCGCTTGGTGCCAATCATGTCTTTAATTATAAGGACCCCGATGTAATCTCCAAGATTAAGCAGTCCATGCCTTCCGTGGATTACATATTCGATACTATTGGTACCGAGAGCTCATCCACCCTTGCCTCCCAGGCCATGAACCCAGCTGGCGGTACTCTCTGCACTGTTAGGCCGTTCAGGGAACACACTGAAGATGTAACTTCCCAAACCAAGGTCACATCACTCCTTGTCTTTACATCATTCTTCAAGGACCATACAATGGGGTCAAACCTTTTGCCTGTAGGCTGCTTTCTCACATTTCTTTACGTATTGCCAGTTACTAATCCGTTATAGGCCTCCGAGGAGGACCACAGACTTGCGTCGGAGTTCTATAGAAAGATCCCTCAGCTTCTACGTCAAGGCAAAATCAAGCCTAACTCCCCACAGCTTATCCAGGGAGGACTGGACGGGATCCAGGAGGGTTTCCAGATGTATAGAGATGGAAAGATTCGTGGGAACAAGGTTGTTTACCGTCTCGAATAACATGTCAAGAATCATACTGGGGCACCAAGCAAGACCTACCAGTGTAACAAGAGAAAAAGAGAATTCCCGAGTAAAGGAGAGAGAAAACCAATTTTCGTTCATTTGATGCAAAAATGACTTGTAAAAGAAAAGAAATACTGCATTTAAACTATCCCAAGGTGCTCCGAGATTATCTTAGTCAATCCTGCAAACGTTGTATTTGTGCCCAAGATGATCTGGATACTGACCTGAACGCCGGATTCCTTGAACAACCAAGACTGGAGCTCGACACCAACCATAGAGTCGAAGCCGTGGCTCGAGACGGAGTTGCTCTCATATTGGAAATCCTCTGCTTGGGCTCCAAGAATTCGCGCTGACCTCTCCATGCTGTGCGACCCGATGGCGAGAAGCGACTCGTCCGCGGAGAGTCCCACAAGCTTGGAAGTGAAGCTCTCAAGTCCTCCACCCCCTCCCGTCTTGCCCATGACTGCGGCAAGAGCTTCCAGCTCCTCCAAGATAGGCCGCATGCGCTCGTCCTTGTACCAGAACGCATCAGACAGATCCAGCCCCTCCTTAACTACGAGCATGGCTGGAGGCTCGAGACTGAGGATCAGCTGAACGTCGCCCAGCTGGACCTCCTTGCCCGACGATGCACCCTGGATGATGGCGGCTTCGAAGCTGCTGAGCATCTCACGCTCGTCTATACCGAAGGGCATCTTGCGCGCCAACGAGTCGGCAATGCTGGTGTTCTCGGCTACCACTCCTACATCCTCGACCGTGGGCAGTGCCAGAGAGCATGCAACACGTCCCTGTCGTCGGCATTGCAGTGCCAGGAAGTCGAGGAAGCTGTTGGCTGCCGCGTAGTTGGCCTGGCCTTGGTTGCTTAGCACAACCGACATACTACTCGTCATGATGAAGAAGTCGAGTGGCATGTCGCCAAGCACTTTATCGAGAACCAGGGCAGCTTTGACCTTGGGTCGCATGACAGTCTGGTAGGCGGAAAAGGTCATCGTCTGGTATAGACCATCCTGCTTTTTGTCAGCTATGCTGCTCATGAATACGGATGGGTTAGCATACCTTAAGGACCATGGCAGCGTGGACGACGCCCTTGATGCTGCCCTGGGCCGATACAGTAGAGACAACATTGGCAACGGCCGTTTCATCGCTTGCGTCGACGCAAAATACATCGACGTTGGCTCCAGATTCTTGGAGATGCTGAACGACATCAGCAGCCTCTAGTTTGGCGGTTCCGGACCTGGATAGGGAGACAAAGTTTCTGCAACCCCTCTCCAGCATCCAGGTAGTCAAGCTATGCCCGAGACCGGCGAGACACCCGATGAGGAGATAGATGCTGTCTCCGGAGAAACGGACAGGCTCAGGAGTAGTAAGTGACTATAAGCATGGTTAGTCGGTCATCTTAGCCATGAAGGTGAAGGTAGATTTATATGGTGGAGACTGACCTTGATCTTGTCCTCTCCGTATTTGAAGCTCAGGACATCGGCACCGGTTTCTGCAATGACACGGCGAGCATTGTCTAGGTCTGACAACTCTTCAACATTCAGAGAATGACTAGCAGGCAACGTAACTCTTTTTACCAGGTCAATGCTGGTCTGAAGGGTGACTTGCAGCAAAGCCTGGTCGACTTTGAAGGCCTCGGACAAATCGCAGACATGAAGGCCCACGCCGCGGGCAAACGGGCGCATGTACAAAGCATAGTCCTTGACAGATAGGTCGTTCAAAACCAACCGGGCGCCCTGAGGCATGGGAAGCCAGAAATCAGTGATGAGGGGGCTCGGAGCGGCGGCGATGACCGTGATGCGGCCTTTGGAAGCTTCGAGCAGCGATTGTGCCCTGAAAGTGTCCTTGTGAACCTGAGCTAACATGAGCAGCGCCGTTATCTGCTGCTGCCTACCGACTCTGAGGCCGCTGCTCCACATGTATCGCTGTGGAAGCAGCTTCAAGGACAGACAGCGAGCGCAACTCTGCAGATATGAGCCACCCCGTGCATCTGAAGATGCCGCCCAAGATAGCCTCCCGCTCATCTGAAGAGGCTCTCGAGGGGTACGATTTCGTCAAGATGAGGCTGGCCGATCTTCAACAGTACAGCAGACGGCTGACCCTTGGAGCTATCCCTGCCCTACCTACCCTCCCTACCCTCCCTACAATCTCTGCAATCTCTACCATCCCTACCACCGTGGTCGATAGTCAGGAGTAAAGCTAGTCTTGTCCATTTCATTAGAGATACCGATATGACTAGTTGTTGAATGGATTCTCTCTTCCTGAGAGAACCCGTGAGTACGATCGTACTCGGGTAAAAGTTAGGGGTGAACCAAAGATGTATTTTCCGTGATTGTCTTCCTAACTACAAGACTTGGTTTTTGTACACAAGATATATGATCTCGTACGTCCCTGAGTCAGTTCGGCATGAATATGCTTTGATCCCCTCAATGGATAACCGAGGGCCGAATATCCAGTCTGTGCCCTCTGCTATGGTGTGTGTCCTTGAGTTGTGCGTGTCGTATAACCAGCTGGTGCTGTCATTCTAACACTAGTATTTAATATAGACTATAAAAGGTTGAAATTCCAAAACAGATTACTATAGAAACTGCAGGATATGTTGTTTCTTAGGATGGTAGATTATATGCAATGGCAAGTCTATACTTTTCCGTAAGTATTCTGATATTCGACATAATAGTGTTAAAGAGTTTGATTTACATGATTGAATTCATTCAGCTATGTTGTTCTCTCAATATCGCCCTCTTGTTGTGTTAATCTAGTTACTTCTGAGTCAACTTGTTCTATATTTCAGACCAGCTTAAAACAGACTCTGTTAATGGCAGGGGCCGTGATGAGTTGAGAAAGCACTATGAGATTCTAGCAACATGTAATGTATGCCCGAACGACATTATCAGGGACGAATTGATTGAGGACAGGACATTGGAGTTGTGCAGTGAAACACACAGAGAGTTTATTTGCTGACTCCTCGAGGCAAGAAAATGCCTGTAGCTCTTTTAAGAAAGCAGATTTACTTTCTCTGGCAATTTGACGCGCCATAGCGCTTGCCCAGTCACGCAGGTTCTTGTAGACAATCAATGACTGCTCAGTCAGACTGCATTTGAGCAGACAACCCGTGGGAGGGGCAGTATGTCGCAATGAAGCAGGTTCTTGACACGAGAGAAGCTTACCCATCCAGAAGCAGACTACGAGTATGGATTGCCTTGGGGATCACCATCCTCCACTCACCGTGAGGTCGAAACCGAAGAGCCCCTCAGATGCTAGCTAGACAACAATAGTCTTTACTTCCGGGTAAGCGGAATAAGAGGGCGAGGAATGAACAGGGACAAGTGAAGTCAAACATGGTAACTTATGACTAACAGAATTCCTGCTCGCGGTCTCCGGCAAGTGGCAATTTGGCAGCTATAACTGCCAGAGAACAGCCTGAGTCTTTTGCCAGAAAAGGTAAACCACGTATCAAGCTAGTTGCAAAGCAATATCGCGTATCCTGGAAACTCCTTTTCGCTTAGAAGCCGGAGTCAGTCCTTGGCCACCAAAACAGGGAACACAAGGAGCTCATCTGTCTGAGAAACTGCCCGCAAACCCGTCGACCTTTGAATCAGGCAATTTGCCTACACGCTTGCATCCAACGGTCCCGTTTGGTATTCTGTGTTCACAACAAGGAAAGCCCAGCGATTGGGACACAAGACTGAGCACCAGTTTCTATTAGAATATCACATGCGGATTGAAGACTAGGACACCATACGATTTAGCAGTCGAAGTGGTTCATGTAGGATGCTACGCAGTTTGGACGCTGACTGGGTTACGTTTTACGACATCTCGTCCCACATCGGTCAACGTACGCAATCCGCCAATCACCAAATCAAGGCCAGGGCTTTGCTGGCTGCGTGAATGCCTCGGGCTATTCTCCCCACAGGCTGTTGTTTTGTTGCTCTGAGCTCATATTCAACAGCCCCGTTGCCCATGGCTCATGGCTCCAGTATCGGCAAGGCTAGACTGTTGACACCCATGCTGTCACTTCTCACTCATCGAGGACCTGATGGATCCATTCCCGAGGGTCGGTCATCAAAGATCTTCGGCAGACACACCCCCTCCCCCCCCCCCCCCCCGGCTTCGGTTTCGGAACTCTACCAGCGCCAATCGAAGAATATTGGCTTGAGCCGTTGGCTGGTTCAAACTTTCTAGCATTTCTTGGGTCAGCAGGCAGTCAAAGCGCAAATTTGGGACCCTTTTCCCCTGGCAATATGCTTGATGAGCGGAGTTTGGCGGAGGCAGGACAACTGTAGCATCGACGCCTGCTGATCTCAGGGCAGCTGCGTTACGTACAAAGGCACAAGGGAAGGGATTCGTGTGTCTGTGATGCCAGTAAGTCGCTCACTTAGCTGCAAGGGACACAGGATGCAGGCGAAGATAACAACTGGCAAAATGTGTTTTATGCATTATGGCTGCGGCCAAATCAAAGAATGGCAGGGGAATTCGCTGGGAGGCGCCGATGCGCAGATTGTCCGCATCTAACCAGCGCCGCACCATCTACTAGATGGCCCGGCCACTCGGTGTTGAGAAAACGGGAGAAGGAGGGCAGACGACAGATACGCCGGGAAGGTGGGGGAGGGGTCGGAGCAATTCAAGCGCGGGTTCGGTCGGATGTTTGCCTGCCAATGCCACCAGTCAGAACCTTGAATGACGAGGCGGTGGTGAGGTTGGTTCAACTTGATAGGGAGGCTGCCGTGACAACCTGCCATCCCGCCATCCCGGGCCAGACCTTCAAACGAGATGCGGCGCACCTCATCCTCTGGTGGAAAGCGCATTGCAGTATCCGCCCGAGGTGCTGCTCTGTTGCTGGACAGTGCTACGCTGGCCGACGACGGTTTCAATCAACGCGTGAAGCGTTACCGGATCGATGGCCCTTTAGGGAAGGGAAGGGGGCGAATTCAAGTCACCGAGTGATACCCTTGTGCGGACTTGCAGCTGGCGAGGTTGTATTCGGCGTGCTGTGCCGCGGTCTTGCATGAGGTAGCCAAGGGTTGTTACTGGGCGAGAAAAAGTCTGATCGACAGGCGATATGACCAACCTGGAGGTGCATGGTCTCTGCCGACAGGTTGATGAGGGAAAATCGGCAGATGGCGGGTTTGTATTGGGCGATAGTGGAAAGTGATGACAGTCTCGTTGGCCAGGCAGTTTCTCTTGAGCCAGCCAGTGAGTGCTCTGGAAAATCTAGACACGTCTGGTGGGACGATCAACGACTACGTAGACTGGCAGAATGGCGAGTCTCTCTAAGAAAGAAAAAGCAACCGTCGCGAGCAAACCAGGGATGTGCCAGACCTATCGAATCTTGACGGCCTGCCGTCAAGTGGCGGCGGTTCTGAGAGACGCGATTGGTGCGCCATACGACTTTTTATAAAGTACACACTTGTAGGGGCCCTAGGTGGATTTACGGCATAATTTCCCTTCGCCTCCACTGCACAGAATGCTTAGCCAGACGAGTCGAGATGGAGGAAGGTCGCTTCTTGGCGGTGTTTCCGGTGGCGTCCGTGGGGGAGTTGTGCTCCGTAAGCAGGGAAGAACGCCGCCATGAAGAAGGTCGTCAAGAACACGACCAACATACCCACTGTGGATCATCGGTTGAATTACACTACGTACGGGGGGGAGGGTATGTACTGCCATTCAGCCTTTTGTACAGAGTACAGAGAACCCCTACATCCCTGGCCGGTTAGAGATTGGGCCGTTCTGGCGAAGGCTAGAATCCCCCTGTCCTTGACCGAGGCTGACGAGGGACTTTGTCCTCGCCCAGCGTTGCTTTCTGTCTAGACAACCCGACGGAAAACGAAATGGAAGCATCCCGGTTAAAGAGTCGAGAACAAGTGCTTTGATGCAGAAAAGAGGCGACATCAAGAGTCTGGCCCAGCCTTGTCCGGACCGAGATGTGGCTGCGGGCGACCACAACCGCAACGCTGAGGCACAGACACTGGAGGCCTCGCTCCCTCCCGCTTCCTCCCGCTTCTCCCTGGGGCCGCTGAGAAAAAAACGCCCGTCGATGGTTCTCTAGGCTCTTTTGTGTGTGTGTGTGTGTGTGTGTGGACGACTTTTAGGCCACAGCGGCCGTGCCCGGCGAGGTCTCTTAGGCGATCCTCCCGCCCCTTGGGTGTAACTGGTTAGGCGACCCTTGCCGGTAGCCCCCGACATCCGCCGATTCTGTCCCCACCCTTCCCTGGATTCCTCCATGGGTCAAGAGAAGTGGGGTTAGTGTTTTTGTCGTTTGAACAAGCACTGGGGGTGGTTCGGTGAGGTCGGGAGCTTGAAGCCCTTGGCCCAGGCGGGGTTCCTTGTGAAGCAATGATACTGTGCATTTCATTGTATTACTACTGTTTCTCATTGGCCTGAAGGGCTTCATTTGCCTGCTTATAGCTCAAGGTTTACTGTTGTCTACGCTGCTGCTCGTCTCATCCAAGAGAAAGGTTCTGTCAAGCAGCAGACACCCCTTCCCCCCCAGCCGGTCCCTCTACACTCATGATCAGATCAACAAGCTGGTCAACGACGGACAAACACATCAGCGGGCAAGTCAGACCAAAGCAACGCCACGGCAGAACAAACCACACCACACCAGATACACCCGGGCCCAGCCATGTCAGACCGAGAAGGGATCCCTCTCCCCGTCATCATTGTCGGCGCCGGCGTGAGCGGCCTGCTGCTGGCCCAGCACCTGCGCAAGACCAACGTGCCCTTCCGCCTGTACGAGCGCGACTTGGACCTCACCACGCGCGGCGTCGGCTGGGGCCTGACGCTGCACTGGTCGCTGCCGGCGCTGCGGTCCCTGCTACCGGAGGACCTCGTCGTGCGGCTGCCGGACGCGTACGTCGACCGCGCCGCCGTCGCGCGGGGTGAGGCCTCGGCGTTCCCCTTCTTCGACCTCAGCACGGGCGAGCTAAGGGGTGCGAGCCCGCGGGAGCCCGAGAACCTGCGGATCAGGGTGACGCGAGAGAGGCTGCGGCGGTTGCTCGCGACGGACGTGGATATTCAGGTATGTCGTCTTTCGTGATTCCTCGTAGTCGTTGTTCCATAGTCCATGGATGTGACGCCCTTATTTTTTGAGACGCTGCACCTCACATCGACCACCGTGCTAAACAGCTCGTACACGCAGTGGGGGAAGAGCTTCGTTAAGTTCGAGGAGAAGCAGGACTCGGTCGTCGTCTCGTTCGATGACGGCTCGTCAGTGACTGGCCGTATGGTCGTGGCATGCGACGGTGGCCCGTCTCGAGTTCGGCGGCAGTTGTTCCCGGACCAGCACGAGAGATACCGGATTCCGGTTCGGGTGCTCGGCCTCAAGGTGCCCCTGTCGCCGGATCAGATGGCGCCGATTCGGAAGCTCGACCCTTTCTTCCTGCAAGGAGCGTCATCTCGCAATGACACGTTTCTCTATCTCAGCAGTGAGTTTTCTTATCCAGTGGTGCATTCATTTCACTTCCTGCTGGGCCTGAAGGGGCCAAAGTTTCTCCCACAGCCAGCCAGGACCGGGGGTGTCGATCATTGTGTGTCCGAACCGGGAGAGTCCTGGACTCAACAACACAATCCCTGTGCCCGGAAAAGTATCGATGCTCGCTGGGGTGTCTCCCCTTGCAAGCAAGTTTGCAGATAGAGCGGAAAAGAAGCAAAACACAACTAATCAAAGCCTCTGCGCGTTGCAGTGCTCGACTCCCCCGGCAACAACGAGGAGAGCACGGGGGACTTCAGCTGCCAGATGTGTATCTCGTGGCCGGACCGCCCGGGGTTCTTGGGTAAGGCAGCGCCGACGGGCTACCCGCAGACGAGCGGCAGCAAAATCGAGTTCATCAGGTCGTTGGCTGAGAGCTGGTCGGAGCCGTTTCGAGGGCTCACGCTCGGCATTCCTGCCGATACGGATGTGAAGCACCTCGACCTATACGACTACGCACCGCCCAAGGGACTGAGGTCCAAGGGCAGGGCGGTGTTGATGGGCGACGCCTTTCATGCCATGGCGATGTGTCAGTGGTTTTCTTTACTGTTGAGAAAGGCTCCAATGTGTCACACCCCTTGGCTGTTCTTCTCTCATACTCACAGAGGGTCGGATGCGTTGACTGGACTGGCTGACGGCTTACGACAGACCGAGGCGAGGGCGCCAACCACGCCATTATCGACGTGCTAGACTTCGCCGAGACGGTGGCGCCCGCGTTGAACGCCGACTTCGCTGAGTTGCGGGCCGCTATAGACGTCTACGAAGACCGCGTCGTCGCCCGCGCCCGGCCCGGCGTGCTGGCCTCGCGGCGAGCCTGCCTAGACGCGCACGACTGGCCCAGGATTAGCCCCGCGAGCCCCCTGCTGAGCAAGCGGGAGATGATGCTTCAATTCGACGAGGAGTAAGGCGATATGAGATAGATTTTTTGTTAATGAAGGCTGAGAGACCTAGCCTGAGACGACCCTTTTTGAGAATGGAGATCGGCACCCTGTTATGGGATCTAGGATATATGGGGTGATTTCCATGACATTGACACATAATTGTACACCCTTGCGCGGTGGAGAGCGATCCACACGAGTCCGTGCTTGTGATGACCGGGTTCCTCTCAGGTTCCTCCACCTTGATCGATGGTATCGCCGTCGTATCTTTGGGCGATCGAAGATTCTGCAACGGGAAGTGATCGCTGTGAAATCTGATCGTTACTTTCAAGACCCTCCGACGCCTTGTCGTCTATCCATCACGTCTAAAAACACTCCCCTTCTAGTATCTTACAACTTTTATCATGTAAAATCTCCAAAGACTCTGCCACTCATGTGATAATATGATGCAGATAAATGTACGCCCTCAAAGGTCAGAGTCCCTTGAATCCCTCTTCTGCGGCCTTGTTATGTCGGACTTGCCCGACTTGGCCTCAGCCCTGTCGTCGACCTGGACGCTGTACGTGACGGACTTTATGATGTTCCCCAGCAGGATGTTCTCCTCGCTGCCGTTGCTGGCCTTGCTGTGGTTGGCCGAGGCGAAGACGCTCTTGTTGTGGTTTATTTCGCTGAGCTTGTAGTGCTCGGGGCCATTGAGGTGGCTGCGGCCGTGCGAGGAACCGCCCGAGTACTTATAGCGGTAGTTCTTGACCTTCTTCATGAAAACGGGCGCCAAGAACGGCAGAGACGAGACGATGTTCTGGCATGGGTCTTATTAGCATGAAGCTTCCCCTTCTTCTTAGAAGAGGGGGGCTGCTGTTGAATTTACCCCAACGTTAAACTTGATGGTCCCCCACATCACCAGTATTGTTGAGTTCTTCTCGCTGTACTGGATGCGGTTGATCTCGAGGTAGCGCAGGATAAAGCATAGCGTCGTAAAGAGGCCAAGCAGGAAGATAGCGATAAGGCTGGCCTTCTTCTGAACGCGGATATTAAGCCGCAGGAGGACCAGGATCAGCAACACTGCTATAACGACGTCAAAAACAATGACGACGACGACGTACGCCGTCAAGGACAGGCTAAGAGGTAGGTACGTGCCGTCCTTAAGCGGGTTCCATCCACGACCTGTCAACAGGCGTGCAGGCAAAGATAAGGGAGAAGCAGCAGGCCAGGTGTGCAAGGAAGATGAGGATAATGGTAACCTAGACGACGCAGCGGTACGTCTTCTGGTCGGTCCCCTTAAGCAGGCGTAGTAAACTAATAAGGAGGGCGATCTTAACGAAGCTAATACCAAGCTGATAGAATGGCCAGCCAGCAAAGTTGATACGGGTTTACGTGACGAGGTTCGCCCTTGGCTGCAGATTGACCGGCAGGCCGAGACCGTATCTCGTTTCTGACAGGGTCAGGGAATCAGAGGCTGCGTTGATGTTGGGAAGGGAGAGAGGGATGGGGGACAACGCGGGTGTAACGCACGGGCGATGGTGAGGCCGGAGTAGATGAGGGCAAAGGCCGTGGACAGCGGGACATCCAGTCGTCGGCGGCTAGGCCTCTGGCCGAGTGGCGGATCCAAAAACGGGAACAGACGACGGCGACGGACAGGAAGGAGAGGACGCAGGCGATGGCGATGATGGTCTGCCACTGCGAGATGGCCTCGACCTCGGGCGTGGCATTGAGGACCCAGCCCATGACGGCGACGGCTGTCTCGTCGGACCAACCCCGCCAATAGTGAAGATCAGGAGGTTGGTACCCGGGTTTTTTTTTCTCCTCTTTATTCTGGCGATGCCGCGTTGTAAGACTGTGGCTTACAGAGAGGAAGAGTGTTACAACCAACACACCCTTTTCCAAGACAGCCGAGCGCGGGGATAACCGAGTTCGTAAGAGCTGGTGTGCTGAAGAATCGAGGAGAGCTACTGGAGAAGGTTGCCGGCTGAGAGAAAATGGAGAGAAAAAGGAGCCTGCAGGAGGAAAGTAATGGGAGTTAGGACTCTAGAAGCGGCAGGGATGGCTGCTTCACGAATGTTGGCAGACCAGGGTGCGGCGTCGAACCGGGAACGCCTCCAAACTTTATCACGTATTGGGGTCTGTCGAACAAGATTATATTATCCAGAGGGTATCGAAGAGTTGATGAGCCCAGGACCGGTTAGACTTGCGACTCCAGGTTGTCTGGGAAGAGAGCTGGCTGGCCGCACGCCGCGTAGTCTCGTTAACCCCCGAGACAGTAGATGAGCAGGCGGGTAACAGAGTTGGGATGCCCTGCCAGTTGGGCCGTCGACCATCTCAAACGCCGCAACGATGGGCCACGTCTGGAGCCCAATTTGAGAGGGCTTGGGGGCTTTGGGAGCCCGGTGCTGGCATGGCCTGGGTAATGTCTTTATGACCCAATAGGAGGGCTCTGGCAAGGGCCCTCGAGGTTCATGATGAAGCCACTCCGAAAGTGTGAATCTTGCCTCTGGGGTCTTTAATCGAAAGAGAGGAGGAGAGAGAAGAGAGAAAGAAGACTCGGCGGAATAAAGGCTCCTGACATGTTGCGTGTTTGGGGATCATCAAGGGCCGTTGCATTGTTCCCCTTTCGTCTCGGCCTGGTTTCTGGACATCTGCGGTCTGCCTGGCCTTCCACAGCCGGGCTTCCATCCTGGCCTTCCACAGTCAGGCTTCCATCCTGCCGTCCGGAGACACATCCGAAAGAGAGGGGGGGGGGGGGGGGGGGGGGGGGGGGGGGTCGCGGTTTGACTATGAGATGACGTCTGACCCATGGCGAAGACGGATACCTGGCGCAAAATTCAACCTTGGGGCAACGGTCTCATGGCAGTTCTTGGCTGGGTATCACTCTTTTTCCCACACTAGACATGCGGGCAGTAAGACGCGGACGAACATAAGCGGCATTACGTTTTTTGGGTTTTTTCCCTCTCTCTGCAGCTTACAAGGGGGAGGGCGGGCCCCACGGCGGATATCTGTCAAAAGGCTCAAAAGTGATAATGTAATTTGTACATGCTCGTGCTGCTGTGCCGCCGTTCTGCCTGTAGGCGTGGAGGCGAGGCAAAACCTTTTCTCCAAAGTGTGTGCATTGCCGTTTGTGTGCGTGTGTGTGTGTGTATGTTATCTTTTAGGTGTGTGCGTATAGAAAAGATATGCGTAAACCATCTGACCTGGGCAAATGAGATTATACTGCTTCCAGGGTAGAGAATAATCAACATCTTGGCACTTTGACGTCGGCTAGACCATCCGTTTCGTCGCCTATCCATTAATAAACGGCCCCCGTTAAACCTCGTTTCTTTGCTCGCATGAATCACACCGCGACAGACAGAGAGAGAAATAGAGAGAGAGAGGGATGGAGGGAGCGGCGAGATGAAAGACTTCATTTGCGTAACTTTGATGTGTCCTCTGGGTTGATGACTCGGACGCTTGAAAATGGGCAGATCTTTGTGAAACTCTGCTTGCCCGCCACCCACTACTCCGAAAGAGCAGGTTGGGCTGGTGAGAAAGACGTACTGCACACCAAAGACGTGCTGGCATTGGCTCTCGATCACGGCGGATATGAATGGGGTATCCGGATTCGATACACTACTGAGATGCAGGCAGGGATCGGGGGACTCCGCCGTACGGCACTAGGGCTGCTTGGTTGCAACTTCGCGGTGTTGGACCCCCCCTCCTCCCGATGGTTATCTTGTACGGCCACGATGGGTTGCATATCGTCGCGTCGAATATGCTGATGCTGACATGACATGGGTACGGTTGTACAAGGACGCCACCAGCAGCACCGGCACCACCAGGGAATCTTGCCCTTTCTCTGCCCCCTTCAAATTGGTCTCATTCTGGCGTTCTGATTCTTCCTGGTGTGTTGCTCCTCCTGGCGGGGTCAATCATCTTTCTCGTTGCATTTTTCCTTCCTTTCAATACTGCCACCAATCCCTTCCATCCCTCTCTCCCACCCTCAAGACCTTCCTCTTTTATTCCTTTTTTTCCATTCGACATCTGCGCAGATCGTAACGAGATCACCATCCCCCTCCTCCCCTCTCCCTCCCCTCTCAACCTTCTTTAGACTTTAGGAGTCCCGCAGCGGAAGCCTGTGCGTGCCTCGTCGATCACAAGGCAGAAAGGACGGAATAGCATTCATTGCTTTTGAGTCTCTCTCCATATCACTGTGTAATACTGGGCCTGGTAATCTCTCCAGACGGCCGTTCTCCGTCCCCAACGTTCAAACCCCGGTGTTCAAGAGAGAAACACCCGCGACCATGTCCACGGACGAAAAGCACCCCAAGGGCGTCGTGAGCTCGGCCTCGTCCGACTCGCACGCGCCGTCCGACACCAACGTCGACGCCGCATGGAAGTTCCTCAACACCCACCGCGATGTCGGCAACGACACGTACTCGGTCGACATTGACGCGCTCCGCCGGAAGATTGACTGGCGCATCGTGCCGCTTATGTTTCTCTGCTACACCATGCAGTTCCTGGACAAGGTCATCCTCAACGTGCGTCTCTGCTCCGTCGTCCTGTTAGACATCTGTCGAGAAGAGGAAAAGAGTTTGCCTATACTGATATGGTGTCCGACAACAGTACGCAGCCGTCATGGGCCTGACAAAGGACCTGAAGCTCGTCGGCAACGAGTTCTCTAATATTGCCACCTTTCTCTTTGTCGGTCTCCTCTGCTTCGAGATCCCTAACAGTGCGTTGTCTTTCCGTCATCCCCTCTTCCGTATCACTGGAACAACCGAACTGACTCCCCACCCCGAGTCTACTTCCTCCAGATGGTCCCCGCGGCCAAGTGGCTCGGCCTTAACGTCGTCCTCTGGGGCATCGCGACGGCGTGCGGCGCCGCGGCCCACAACTACCAGACGCTCCTCGTGTCGCGTGTCTTCCTCGGCATCTTCGAAGCCACCATCGGCCCCTCGCTGATGCTCATCAGCGCGCAGTGGTACACCAAGTCCGAGCAGGCCCCGCGCTTCTCCTTCTGGTACCTTGGCCTCGGCATCGGCCAGATCCTTGGCGGCGCCATCTCGTACGGCTTCCAGCATATCCCGCCTTACGCCGCCCTCGACGGCTGGCGCATTATGTTTGTTGCCCTAGGCTGCGTGACAGTTGCCGTCGGGATTGCCACCCTGCTCTTTGTGCCCGACACGCCCATGGAGGCCACCTGGCTGTCCGACACAGAGAAGGTTGCCCTGCTGCGGCACGTCAGCGTTAACCAAACGGGCATCAAGAGCCGCAAGTTCTGTCCGAGGCAGATCCTTGAGGCTCTGATGGACCCCCAGATGTACCTGATAACCCTGGCCGTCGTTCTCGTGCGTACCGTCCCTCTTTGATGTGTTCCTATGATTGCTATTGTTCCTGTTGCCCCCTCCACCCGGCTGACACCCCCCCAAAGTTTTCCGTGTCCAGCGGCGTCATCACGACGTACTCATCCACCCTTATCCGTAACCTCGGCTATGACCCGAAGCGCGCCGCCCTCATGAACATGCCCTCGGGCGTCGTCAGCATTTTCTTCACCCTCCTCGCCGGCTACGGCATCCGCCGCACATCCAACCGGTGGGCGTGGATTGTCGTCTGCATCATCCCGGCGTGAGTTCCAAGTCACCCGCGATATAAACGGATTTATCCGGCATGGAGGACGAGCTGGAAGCAGCTCACTGACCGATCTCACGTGCAGCATCATCGGCGGCGCTCTCATGTCTTTCCTCCCCGTCAGCAACCGCTCCGGCTGCCTGGCGGGCATCTACCTCGTCAACGCTATCGTCGCGCCCCTGCCCGTCTTTTACGCTGTGAGTGTGAAGGAACCCCTTGAGTTGAAATGCATTGTCTCGAGCATACCATTGACACGTCATCCCCCAGTGGACCGCCGCCAATTTCGGCGGCGCGACGAAGCGCGCCTTCGCCGCGGCCATCGTCTCGGGCTCCTTCTCTCTGGGCAACATCATCGGCCCGCAGACCTTCCAGGCCCAGGACGCGCCCGAGTACCGCCCGGCCAAGATCGCCGTCATGGGCACCCAAGGCGGCTGCGCCCTCGTCACCCTCGCTCTGTACGCCTACTACCGCTTCGAGAACAAGCGGCGCGGCGCCGTACCCCAGTCCGAGGACGCGTACCTGGCGCCCGAGGTCTGGCAGTCCATGACGGACCGGGAGAATAAGTCGTTCCGTTACACGTACTGATGGGGGAACGTGTTTAGGGTTAAAAATTCCCAACCCATGGGGACCCATGGGTACCCAGATGAATGGGTTGGGTGAATGGGTCAACCCATGAAATGGGGTTTTTGGGTTTTGGGTATTTGGGAATTGTTTTTTTGGGTATAGGTATAAAAAATCCCCATACCTAAATGATAAGATAAGAATAGGTTTAGTTATAGGTTGAGAATATTTGCTGTGTTTTCTGCTTATTACGTAATGGATACCTATAATACCTATGTCCAGAAAACAGAAATCCCCATTTAGGTATAGCCCAAAAACCTATACCCATAATCTTGAAAAAAACCCATAACCCATTTCAACCCATAACCCATATGGGCCCCAAAAGAATCCCCATGGGTCGAATGGGTTAGAACCCAAATTGGTACCCATGGAGAATTATAACCCTAAACGTGTTAGTGATGGGTGTGATGCGACGGAACAACCCGACGAACCTATGACCACGGGCTGTTTACTACAGTCTAGACCTCGACCCGTGGTAGGACAAGTTTGCTGTACACTATTTACAA